AGTGCGATTGGCACAGGACAGAGCGGAGTTTAGGGCTGTTGTACATAGGGTCGCTATGAGTCGCAGGCGACTCGACGGCACATAACAACAACAACATTCCCGACTAAAACAAGCCTGGACGCAGGAGCGGCATCCAATTCCAAAATGGCTTGCCTCCAGAAACTCTATGTACAAACAGTGCTCAGGCCGTTCGTTCACAGGGTTGCTATAAGTGATCTATGACTCAACGGCACCAAACAACAATAACAACAACAACAACGACGACAAAGAGAGAGCTACGCTGGCCTAGTGGAAAGGAAGTTATGCTACCAAGCCGAAGGTGGGTGATTTTCATCTGCGGCCCTCAGCCAGGTTTAAACTGTTTTCCTGTCAAACATTCTTCTAGGTGGTATAGCACTGGTCTGTGCGTTGCTGTACAGAGTAACTCGTGGTTGCTGTGATGCTGAAGACTGTGACAATGATGTGCCAATTGTAATGGGTACCCATGGTGGACAGTGTTGGCTGGAGCTTCCCGACTCAAACAAGCCTGGAAGCAGGTGCGGCATCCACTTCCCAAATGGCTTGCCTCCAGAAACTCTATGTACAAACAGTGCTCAGGGCCTTTTGTTCAAAGGATTGCTATGAGTCATCTACGACTTGACGGCACCAAACAACAACAATTCATGTGACAGCTGGACAATGAACAAGGATGGCAAAAGAATCGAATCCTTTGAGTTGTGGTGTTGGAAAAAAGTACTGAATGGACAGTCATTGAAGAGCACATGGAGCGCCAAGAGAACAGACGGATTATGTCTTGGAGAAAGTGCAACACAGTGTTCCTTAGAAGCAAGGATGGTGAAGCTCTGTCTAGCGTACTTTGGGTATGTTGCAAGGAGAGGTTAATTCCTTGGACCTGGACATCATACTTGGAAAGGTGGAGTCAAAGAAAGAGAAAGATGCTCAATGAGATGGAGTGATACAGTTACTGTGGCAACGAGCTCAAGTGTTCCAGAGATAAGGATGGCAGAGGATAGGACAGAGTTCAGATGTGTTGTTCATAGCGCCGTTATGAACTGTACTTGGCTAAGTGGCAACTAACAACAACTCAGCATGCTCAAAATAAGATAGAAAAATGACTGAGAAAACAAGTATAATAAACTACCAAATTAAAATATGAACAATCAGACGTATTCCTGAGTAATGGATACTGCTCCCATAATAGTAATTGTCAGGCACTAAGATGAGCACTGACGTCACAGTGGCTGATTAGACAGTCACGTCTTAGATTTATCGGATTTGATGCTAATCACCTTCCCAAACTCACCTCAGATCACTATTCTTACTCTTCTCCAGCCACATTGGCTTCGTGAGCACATACAGCACACTGGTATATCAAGACACCTACTACTGTAGCCTGCTCAGAGGTAATCTCCCTCCATATAACCAACGCTACGGTTGCATTTTATGCCCAATGCCACTTCCTCAGCGAGCTCTTGCTAACCTTTCTACTTAGAACACTGATAACAAAAATTCTCAATTCTATTCACTTCACCAACCAATGATACTTAAGATGATCTGGTTTCTTTCTTTGGTCTTCTTAAAACAACATTTCAAAACCTAGAATAGTGCCAGATACTAGGTAAGTTGATGAATAAATTCTTAAGAAACAAATACATAAAGAATTCTAAAAATTCGTAGTAAACAAATACAGAAAGAGTTCTAAACTGGAGATAGATTTAAAGGCCATTAATATATACACTGAAGTGGATGTGATGATACAAAAAACAAAATCAAATTATCATCAATGCAGCAAAGGAATCTTACTATGCCAAAAAAAACCTAGAGATAAATCTTTAAGCAAGTGCTTTCATTATATTTCATAAAATTTAGCCTTGTGTGTTTCAGATTTTAATTCGTTTTATACATTATATTACAGTGAGGCTTAATCCAAAATTAGACCAGAACAATCTGGATTGTTGGCCTCGCTAGATTAATTAGCAGTCACAACATTAAATTATCAATATCTAAAGAAAATGTCAATACCTCTGCATCTTCATCAAGCTGCAGTTGCTTGGCGATAGCTTCATCATTTAATGTGGAATCTGTATTTTGTGAATGCTAGATTTCAATGAAAATTAGTTAAGATCAGAATAACTGAATTTTTTTTTAAAAAAAGGTACTTTCTTTTGACTGTAGCTGATTAAACTGATGACAGATAAAAGCATGAGTAATAAATAGCTACAATCCACTCTGGCTTCAACATATGATTATGGTAACTTCCTAAACACATTCAATTTCCTAATAAGTAAATATCCTACAGACAGATGGCTCTCACTTAATTCTATTGACATTTCAAGAGAAGTGGGGAAAAAACCCAACAAAGCCTAGGAGATGAATGTCTTGGCCTTAAAAGTACAGAACATTGGCAAACCAATATGTGAGAATGATTAGACTGTCCTGTGGAGACACTAAGGAAATCAAGAAACCTGACACACCATTTGGCAGCTTTTAAATCTGAGGACAACTTTCACTATACTTTTTATCTGTTTCCCAAATGGTTAGAAAAGATGAATTCAACATCAAAGTTGAAAAGGTAAAAAAGTATATCATAGGTACGCCCTATTTTAAAAAGAGAAATTTATGCTCTCATTTTGGGGACAAATTTACTGTTTAATTTTATCTAACTGAGGTCAACAGTAAAATGAGATTACATTCTGAGTAAATTCTATAAATCATAATTTTTTTCCCTTGTGCTTAAATTTTTTTTTAACTGTAGTATTTTAAAACTTAAGTGTACAATATTCAAATTCCTCCAATCCCTAAAACGTTATTGCTGCTGTTAGGTGTTAACAGTCAACTCTAAGTTACAGGGGTTTTCTCAGCAACACATCATCATCTTTTCCTATTCTGGGCCATCCTTATTTCTGTCATGCTCAAGTCCATTGTTGAAGTCAATCCACCTGGTTGAAGGACTTCCTTCCTCTCCTAGGCTGACTCTATATATACTTTGCCCAAAATTATGGTTTTTGCCAAGGACTGGCCCCTTATAACATGTTCTAAATATGGGAGATGAAGTTTCACCATCCATGTCTCTAAAAATCACCTTGAGAACACACAATCATTAATTAATTATAATCCACATAGTTTAATTCTTTATATAGTCAGGAAAGCACAAACATCTTTCTGCAGTTCTCTGCTTACACCCAAGATCTATCTAGCACCAGCAATGACAGTCCTTATTCTACTGCCTCTTTTGAATACAGCCTGAACTTCTGGCTGTCCTTGGTCAATGTTCTGTTCCATTGTTTTTAAAGAATCTTCTGCCAAGATTTTACTTGTATATGATATTAACAATACTGTTTTGATAAATGCCACACTACTGGATATCTTTTTTTGGAATGGGGGAAGAAAAAAAAAGGATCTCTTCAGTCAGTTGGTCAGTTGGAAATCTTCCAAATTTCATGGCATAGACTACACACAGTATCTCTTTGATGAAGCAGATCAAATGGTAGTCCAACAATTCCTGGGGTCCTATTTTTTTTGCAAATGCCTTCATTGTAGTTTGGATTTCTTCCTTCAGTACTGTGATTCACTTTATGCAACAACTCAGTGCTGGCCAATTTTTTTTTTTGGTACAGTGATTCTGTGTATTCCCCCGCATCTTCTTTTGGTGCTCCCTGTATCATTCAATTTATGGCCCAAAGAATCCTTCCAGATTACGATTAGAGGCTTACATTTGCTCTTCAGTTCCTCCAGTCTGAGAAATGTCATGTTCTTTCCTTTTGGTTTTCTAACTCCTGCTCTTTGTTCACATTTCCCCACAGAACTTTGCTTTGTCTTCTTGAGATGCCCTTTGAAATCTTCTATTGGATTCTCTTATTTCACTATTTCTTCCCTTCATTTTGGCTTCTCTAAGTTAAAGAACAAGTTTCAGAGAGACTCTGACAGCTATTTTTTTCTTCTTTTCTTTTGCAATGACCTTTCACTTTCTTCATGAATGATGTTCTTGATGTTATCCCACAACTCGTCTGGTCCTTGACCACTCATGTCTGATGCACCAAAATCTGTTCTTCAGATAGTCTTTCAATTCAGCTGGGATAAGCTCAAGGTTGTATTCTGGCTCTTGTGGATTTGCTTTTATTGCCTTCAGGTTCAATTTGAACTTTCACATGAGTGAGTGATCATCTGCTAGACAGATGGCTCCTGGTCTTGTTCTGACTGCTTTACTATGTTTCTCCACCGCCTCTTTCTATCATCGTAGTCAATCTGATTTGTGTCACAGGTCCATCAGATGAGGTCCCTGTATCCAAATGTATACTCTCCATTTATATTTTTTTAAAAAGGTAATTGCCCACAATAGCCTGTGTGTTTCCTATTGCCAAAGGGGCCCTTTAGAGTAGTGAGAGAAGATCTTCACCCTGAAACCTACAGCGTCCCTTTTCAGCAGGAAGTAGCTAAGAGAATACGCCATCCCCTTTTCCTTATGAATCAGGGTGAAGTCTATCTCAGGGAGGAGTGATAGGGAATGGCAAGGGACACACTGACAAAGGAGATTAATCAGAACTGACTTTGACAAGCACTGTGGCAATGGGACAATTAAAACAGACTTTCAAGGGGGGGAAAAAAGAGGAATGAACTAGGGGGGAGGGTAGAGAAAATAATGCAACAATGAATGAATGGAAACCCCAAATCTCTGTAAATGTTCATTAAAATTAATAAAATTTAATAAAATATATATATAAATAGAAAAAAATAAAAAGGTAATTGCAATTAACAAAACAATATATTTTTTTCCATAGCCACAGGAAAACTATTTTCATTAACATGTTGACTTTTTTAGAATGCCCAAATCCTTCCTCTTAATCACTGTAAATAGAGAAAAAGTCTGAATCGGCTTACTTAAACCTAGAACACTCACCTCTTTTCTTTTGCTTGCCACCATCTTCTTGGCTGATCTGTGGACACTTCCACCTCCAAAATAATCAAGCACCGACGTGGGTGTCAGTTTTATTGGTGATAAAGGCTTGTTCGTGGTCTTAGCATTTTCCTCATTCTTCTTCACGTTTGATGCTCCAAGATAACTACTTGCAGATCCTCCATTCTCTTTTGATTTAACAGCTGGTTTCTTACACGTAAGGTTATCTTCTTCATCTTAAATGAAATAAAACAGTGCTTTTAAAGGAGACATCAGTTGAAATTACATAAAGTAGCCACTTCCACTAGACCTGTAGAAAGAACACAAAAGCTTTAATATTCCAAAGAATTTTTTTTCTTCCAGTCAACCAACTCCAACCATCAGCTCTACCTTTACCAGTGCCAATCCTGAAATACACATCTCTCACTCCTAATTACTAAAAAAACTGCAAACATATCTATTCACTTGTGTATTCAACACATATTTACTGAGCACCCATTATGTACCAGGCACTAACTCAGCACTGACGATACAATCGTGAGCAAAAAACAACAGCCCTGCTGTCATGGAGACTGCTGTCTAGAAAACAGCTGCCAATTTTAAAAAACACAGAGGATCAGATGATGAGGCCCATTAAGAAAAACAAGGTGCAAGCATCAGAGAGTGAAGAAGAGTGCACACTGAAAGAAAAGCCAATTAGATGAGCAAAATTTAACCAAGGCCTGAAGTGAAGGGACCTCACACAAAAACACAGAGCCTTGTGGCACAGTGGATTAAGTGTTGGGCTGCTAGTCGTAACCTCAGCAGTTTGAATCCATCAATCACATTGAGGGACACAGTCTGCTTCCGTAAAGAGTTAGTCTTGGTAACCCAGAGGGGCAGTTCCACTCTGCCGTATAAAGCTGCAGTAAATTGCCATCAACTAAGTATCAATGGTTTGGCTGAATTTTTTAACACATAAGAATACTCAACCAAAAAAGGCGACAGTGAAAAACCCTTAAAATGTGTATGTCTCGAGGTCAGTATAACTTGACTGGAGCACAACAAGGAAGAAGCTGCAAACATGATCAGAGAAGTGGGGCCAAAATCCTAAAGACTTTTTATGCCAAAAAACCATGTAGTAACATTCTATTGCAGGTGACTTGACAGCAAATAACAAAAACAACATGTAGCAATAAAATATCATAGTGTATATAGTCCTATTTACTGACATAAAGATGTTAATATTTCTATTAATTGATGAAGACGGGTGGTACGGTTGGGTTGTTTCGGGGGTTTTTTTGGCAGGTGATATATTTAATGATATTGTGTATGCCTGTGTACAGTGAAAATAAGGCCAGAGGCTAACTGTAGAAAAGACAATTCACTGCACACATACAAATTTAGGCTGAAGCTGAGGAAAAAGAAGTTCACATATGAGCTTGAGTAAATTCCACCTACAATCAGAGACCATCAGATATTACAAAACCAAAAAGGTCATTTAAAAAGACAAGCAGGAGAGAAAAGGTAAAAACAGAATTCAAAAGACACTCTAAAACTTGCCTTAAAATATAAAGCAGCTAAAGCAAATAAAAGAAATAATGAAGGAAAAAATTTCAAAGGGGGAATTGAGAAAACAAATAATTAAAATGAAATGTGTAAAGACACAGAGGCAGAAAACCAAAGGAGAACACACTCTCAAGCTGAAGAACAAAGTGATCATTTCTTCAGCAAGTAGGAGAAAAGCCCTTCTCCGAATTTTGACTTAAAAATAAATGAACTTAAATGGAATTCTTTCAAGTTAAAATTTTTTTTTTAATGGGCTGCTCCTAAACAGGTATCTTATAAACATTTTTATAATTTCTGAATAAAAATGTAATTACACATACATTTTCAAAGAAAAATATGGACTACATGTTTTAGTAAAATTTAAATATTTCATAATAAGCAAAAATTTAATACCCTTTTTTTTTGTCTTCTGATCATCAAATACACAGCTCTCAAGGTAACTAAAAACGTAGCATCAACTCTAGTACAGTAATACAAAGATAAAAATGAGCAGCTCTCCAGTTCACTTGCTTTGGACTCTTTTTTTTTTTTTTAATAATTTTAATGAACATTTACAGAGAATTTGGATTTCCATTCATTCATTGCTGCACTTCTCTACCCGCCCAGCCCTCTCCCCCCGGCCCCCAGTTCGCTCCTCTCTTTCAAAAATAAAAGACTCCCTCCCTGGTACACAATCCCCCGGCACCGCTCCCACCGCCCCAAGTACATTCCACTATGCAACCTTAATTGTGGACTCTTGTGATAACCATAATACCCTATCATACATCGCTTTTAAATTATTCAGTCCCTCATCTGTTTCAGTGCAATATACACAATTTATCCAGTTTTTCTCAGTCTTACCCCCACCCTGATGTCAGTCCCATTTTACAGCAGTGCCACCATACAGTATTTGTCCTTTTGTGACTGAAATATTTCACTCAGCATAATGTCCTCCAGGCTCACCCATTCTGAATAATATTGAATGAGTTCCTTGTTTTTCAATGCAGCATAGTATTCCATTGTTTGAATATACCACAGCTTCTCTATCCATTCATTTGTTGATGGGCACCTGGGTTGTTTCCAACTCCTTGCTATTGTGAACAGAGCTGCAATAAACATGGGTGTGCTTCCTTTTGACTCTTAACAGTAGCCTTGATTTTCAACTTTAATTCACTCCTCAGTGCTAAGAGAAATTAATACCCATCACAAATCACACACACACATCATAATCTTAAGCATAATGTAATTTCTTACTAAGGATTTCATCAAATGAATATAGTATCAATACACTGTTGTTTTTGTTGTTGATTGCTGTTGAGGACAACTCATAGTGACCCTATGAACAAAAGACCTGAAGTCTTTCTGTAACTATCACCATTTCTCAAAGTTCATAGAGTTTCCAGAGGAAAGTTGTTTTGGAAGTGGATGCCACTCCTGCTTCCTACCATGTCTTAATCTGGGAGCTCCACCAAACACTGTCCACCATGGGTAACCATTATGCATGTGACACCCCAATGGCACTGAGTTCAGCATCACAGCCACTCCAGGTTATCTTAGTACAGCAAATTGACAAACCAGGGTGCTGTACCACTAAGAAAGTTCCTCTAAAGTATTACACCAGGCCCAAGGGCCTAACCGACTTTTAACTACAAAGGCATAGACTGTCCAAAAAGTCACAGACATCTGGGGAAATGACCCAATATCTAGCTTTGATTATGTCATCATCATTATTATCATCATTTAGCCAGAAAACCTAAAAAGCAAGCAGCAATCTTATTATCTCTATGGTATGACTTCCAAACTAACTGTCTTAAAGGCCCTATAATCTATAATATTTCCCAAATTGCACCACCAAGCAGCAATCTTATTATCTCTACGGTATGACTTCCAAACTAACTGTCTTAAAGGCCCTATAATCTATATTATTTCCCAAATTGCACCAACATTGAAGACAAAACTAAGCCAAGTATTTAAACAATGCTTCCTTCAAAAGGCACAGCTTTTAATAAGTATTGTTGTGACTAGCCTCACATAAATGAAATTATTTTAGGATGTAACACAATGTGTAGAGAGATAAACCTTCCAAGTGAAGTTGTGGCTGTTTTTAAAATTAAAACTAAAGCATTTGTTCCTGTTTTCTAATGAGCCTAAAATTGATTTCTGCTGTAGAAGCCAAAGGCAAATTGTGTTCTCTTCTCTCAGAAATTTGTAATAAAAATAATGAGAAATAGATCCAAGTCAAATTCGTAAGAACGAGTTGAAAATCATGGGCAAGTAAGCACTCAGAAATTCCCTCCAGGATATGCTCTCCTATAAAAAAATACCATTTATTGTTGTCTATATAATAAAACTACAAACATGGTAAAAACAATAAAATAAATTGTTATCCAACACACAGGAGAGGAATTGCCTGAGAAAGAAGATGGGTCTGCTGTTCTGAGTTTGATTTGCTAATATATTTAGAAGGAAAACCAATAAAGGAGAAAGGAAATAATGTGCAGTTCCCTGTAAGAATCTATTTACAAGCTAAAAAGAAGAAGAGAGTCTAATTCTAGGAAGAGTCTGTCTTTTCCGAACAGCCTTCTGAATATCGTAATTCTAATCTTCTTTTCTTTAGTCTAAAATACTTTTCCTGGTCATAAACCAAATCAGTGGGGCAAACACTGGAAAGATCTAAGTACAAATCTTATTATATTAACAATAAGAAGTAACAAGCCAAGAAGTAGAAGGGAAATCAGGGTATTCAGAGATTTCTTTTTTTCCTAGAATGTTTGAGTCAACAATCCAAGTTGATGTTTTAATGATATAGACTCATACATATTGAAAGGTTTCAATGACTATTTGTTCATGAAGTGAATGGAGAAGAAACTACTCACACCATCTTTGCCCCACTTAGGCATTAAGTCAGGAATCTGTATGCCACAGTGTAATAAAATAAAGCTCCAGAGACAACTCATATCTCAAGATTATACAAGAAACTAAAAATATCAGATCACTCAAGATTCATTACCAGTGAATGTGCTTAGAATTATATGGAATCAGATAAATTTATAGTTTTACAACATACAGTTTTTGACTATCTGCAGCAAACACTTCAAATCCTCCTCAATTTAGGCGAACAAGGTTAGGTAATGTGCATAACGCAGGTTGTTCATGAGGGTTTTCTCAATCCCAATGCCACATTCTTCTTCAGACTTTTCATACTATCTCCAGGAGAGACCTACCCTTGGAGAAGTACACCACGCTTGGTGGGGTAGAGGATCAGCGCAGAAGAGGAAGATCATCAATGAGCTGGATTGACACAATGACTGTCAGTGCGGTTCACAGGGACAATAAGGTTGGCACAGGAGAGGGCAAGGTTCAGAGCTATTGTTCACAGGGTGACTATGAGTTGACTAGATGGCATACAATGACAACTATGTAAGCTGGGTGAAGTCTACTAAAGTCAATACATAAACTGAGAGGGTAAGACTGGCTTTTCCTGTGATGTTACATACCAAACATGCCAAGTCAATACTCATTGTGAGGTTACATCTCCACCAGAAGCAAAAATCACAGCTGCCTTCAACTACCAGCGAAAAACAGGTACCAGGTATCAGAAAGTACCTTCCTCCTGTACTAGATCCTTACACAGAGGGAATACAAGTTAGTAGGGAGAGGCTGGGATAACAGCCCAGAACATCTTAATTCTAAGACATGAAACAAGCAA